GAGAGGCAACGACAGAGGCAACCAGAGAGGCAACGACAGAGGCAACCACAGAGGCAACCAGAGAGGCAACCAGAGAGGCAACGACAGAGGCAACCAGAGAGGCAACCAGAGAGGCAACGACAGAAGCAACCAGAAAGGCAACCAGAGAGGCAACGACAGAAGCAACCAGAGAGGCAACCAGAGAGGCAACGACAGAAGCAACCAGAGAGGCAACGACAGAGGCAACCAGAGAGGCAACGACAGAGGCAACGACAGAGGCAACGACAGAGGCCCCAGCGGTGTGATTGTTCTGATCCGTCGGCTTTAGATAATCAACAATAAACTATAACATGTTTTTGCAGCTAATCTGCTCCTGCAGTGAAAACAAAAACAAGCTATGCTTAGCCTGGCGGGGCTAGTAAAGCATGGCGGGCTGCCAGGCTTATAAAAAAGTGGGGAAACCCTGATTAGTTAGCGGTTCTACTGCTAACGAATAGAAACCACAAGAAGGAAGGGAAGCACCAACTAAACCATTTACAGCAGATCAGCTCTTCTTGAAGCTGTGCCGTTTCACACCTTCATCGCCGTGGAGACGGCTTATCTATGGTGTCAGAGACGCTTATTCAACACAAACTGCTGCACAGGCTCTGAGCACAGCAGAAAACCCGGAGCGGAGCCGAACCGGCTGGCGGCTGGGCGACCTTACCTCGGGTCTCAGATCCAGAACCAGATGTTTGACCACCTTCCCGAACGGCTTGGCCAGCGCCAGCATCTCGTTGCGGTAGTTGTAGCCGCGCCTGAAGCCCAGGATGTTGACCACCCTCATGCCCTGGAGGGAAACAGGAAACACTTGACCTCAGACAGGAAGGGGGCGCTGTGGGGTCAAGCTTGGGAGCAAGAGTTCGAACCAGACGTACCCCTTTCCTGGTGTTGTCTGCAGAAAAGAAGGAAAAGAGAAAAAAACGAGCATCAGGTCTAATCTGATTGGCTGCTGAAACGCCTCAGTGACCTGATCACCAACCGATGCCGTCGTCGCCCTCGTCGCCGTCGTCTTCATCCAACTCGTCCAGGGTCACAAAGTCCTCCATGTTCTCTAGGAAGCTCTGGTCAAACTGGAACCACAGGGATCCGGATCAGAACCAGCTGGTCAGACCCAACAGAACCTCCACACTTGACTCACCTCGTCTCCATCATCTGGTGCTTCAACGCTCTCTTCTTCTTTGGTTTCTGGATCCTCTGCAGGAACTCCAGCCTCCTTCTTAGCCCCACCCTCTGTGATGTCATCATCACTAGAGTCCTGGTCAGAGCAATGATATAATTTAGGCTTGTTGCAAACGAATATTTCAGAAATCAAGTAATTTATCAATTATTTTTACAATTAGTAAAACATTGGTAAAACTTCCATAACAGCAGAGTTACTGT